CCCCCACGACAGCGCGAAATCAGACAAAATACTTGTAAGTGCACGAATCAAAGTGCTGAATTTAAATTAGCAAATATTTTGGTCGAAGCGTACAACATCATTAGGTCCTTGAGAGAAAAGTTCAATCATTTTTTAACACACGCTGTTCTGCGCTATCTGTCTGAAACAATTCGGCGTATTCAGTTCAAAATATATGTATATAAATATATGTAAAAGACATAAGATTTGCCCCCTTAAAATCCTACAAACAAGTAACCAGACCTTCAAATAATTGCCTTTAATTTAATTCATGCCATATTCCCGTCAAATGCTATTTTATGTTCATCTATTGACTCTTAAATTAATATAGTATTGATAGGATTAAATTGCCCAATTAGCCATTGATTAAATCCCTATTCTTGAACTGTGCCAACAGAAAGAATAAAAATTTCTAAAAATATTTACCAAATACTATATTTTTAACATTCGTTAAAATGCATATCCTGCGCATTAACTCGGTCGATTAAACAGTAATAATGGCCATTCCAATTTAATTTCATTAACATATGGCATTGCCTAGAACAGACGAACAATACTTTCATCGAAAAATGAAAAGAAAAAGAAATATGTGTTCTTATTTTAAGTGAAAAACAGTTCTCTATTGCACGGATGTTGTGTTTACTTCTATCCGATGTGTAGCGGAAACACTTTATCTTAGAGAACCATCTTAAGGCCAGACAGGAGAATAGGAAATGGTGGCAACACCCATGAATCCCCTACGCGCCAACTTGCACATGTTTTCTGAGAGCTTTCCACCAAGGCAAGGAAAAGGCTATTTTATTTTAGGTGTACGGCTCTACAATAGTGATTGTATTATTAAAGTTACCATCAAGTTACTGACTTAATGAAAAGAAGTAAATATTGTGATAAAATGTGTTAAATATAACCTTCAACTTGAGCTGTACTGCAACATTCCATGAAATAGATGTTTAATATGCCTTAACAAGCACTTAATATTCACAAAAAAATTTTAAGTTCCACTTGAGGAAAGAAGTAGCATAATGGAGTCTCCGAATAATTCCGATTTCGTTGACTTAACCAGGGCGGTTGACACTTTCACTTTCCTTACATGACTCGATAGGCCTTAGGCTCGAGGAATTACGAATTCGTAAATGACCATCCTATGATTAGATCTCGCTGGAAGGTCATGTCTTTATCCCACTTTCATTGCACTTTTGCACGCCGAAGGTCCACAAGCCAAATTCGAATGAGATTGCTGTATACAGGAATGAACAATCACACCAGCTATCAAACTGACCAACATAAGTTATCAAAGTACTGATCGGAAATTTCTAAGTTAAAAAAAGTAAATGAAAATCTTTTAGAAATTTTACATTTTGAAGTAAGCGGCCAGTACTTTACGAGGTTGTGGACTTATGATTGGAGGGTTTAATTAAGAATTTGTCGAAGTAAATTAACACGATTTATCTGGTTCGGTGATTTTAGGTACAATACGAATGTTATAAACGAAGGTGATTAAAATATAAACAAAATAAATCCGATTTAAATTGGATCACAAAAAAAAGAAATTGACATTAAACCAGGTCGCTCTAAAAAAACATAACAAAGATCTGTCCTACATCCTTGTTGTTTTGCGTTTAAAATTCCAGAGGATTCAAATTTCACGAACCTTAATCGTCGCCGTGCTGATTCAGAGCATGTCAGTGTGTCCATGACCTAATTATCACGGGTTTTTTTATTGAAGAGTAGCCTTAAGTGGTGCTCCAGCAGAAAAATTTGAAAGTTTCTTATCAGGAGATAAAGTGACATGAGGTACACCTTGGACTATTTATAGTAATTTTACTGCCAATGAAGTATCCTCTGGATGCTGAGATAAGATGCAATGTATTTGCCAAACGGATATAAATCCTGGTCTGTTAGAGGGGGTGGGGTGGGGACTTCGTTATCTTGCAGTGAGTAGAAATGCTATCAAATTATCTCCATTCGAATAATTGTCATGTTTTTCTCCACTATACGCTATCGATTACTCGAAGGTAAGGGTACTTCAAGGGAAGTTGAAGTACACACGGCTACTTTAGTTTATAGGCATTCATCGCTTGGTGTAATTTTTAATAAAGGTATGAGTTGGGCAGAAAAATGTATAGCTTTATGTAATTATTTTGCTGGTTGGAGATGAGAACGCAACCGGGTGCTTTACTTCACAAAATATGAAAGTTCCACAAGTGGTAAAATTGTGGTCTTCACCTATCAGTCCGGAAGCTTCTTATAAATTTTGATAGAGGTTTGTGTTTCGTCTGGGTAAAAACCGGTTTTGAAGTTTGAAAGATTTAACTCGGTACTGTAGTCCACAATTAGTTTAACGGTGGGGTACAACCCATTTCTTTTGCTAGAGAGTAGTAACCATAAATCAAAAAATAATGGACTTCTAAATAGCTCTAGTTAATCTATCTTTTCATTTTTAAATCAAGTACTACCTTTTAAGTGGTACCTAAATTGTTTTACCTTAAAAAAATAGACCAATCTCAAGAGAAAAAACGAACTAAAATAACAACCTTCAAGAAGGAAATTCCTCATTTTCTAAGCTTTCTTGCAATAAAAAAAGACTTTTGGTTGAAGGCAGAAAACTTCAGACGAGAGGTTATCTGTATCATTCTGATAGTCTAAATAATTCGCTACATTTGACACATAACAGTACTTGTAAGGAGAATTTTGATAGAATTAGGTTTACTAAGGAAAATAGCATAAGATCAATGTGGGTTGAAAGGCAATAGATAGGCCCTTGATCAAAGAGGCTTTGTTTCACAATTCCAGAAATAAAAAGAACACTAGCATTCAAGTCCTAACTCGAACTATCAGAAAGAAAGAGAAAATGAACAGAAAGGAAGATATTGGCTAGGTTAAATTCAATTAATCGAAGAACCTTAGAGGACAAAATAACCCAACCGAAGGGATGTCGAGTGTGTTCACAAGAACAACCGAATGAGCATATTTCTACGAAAAGGACACCAACAATTAAGGAGAAATGCTTCACGCAATCTGGAGTCTTTGTTTTCTTTTATACACCTTCTTCACCATATGAATTTCAGTTGGAGTTCATCTCTTCTGAAATTGTTTATGTCCTTATTTCCCAATAAAAATTCTAATCTCTATGCAATTTTCTCAAACTAAATTTTTGACCCACCCTTAAAGTCACAGCCCTTAAGGATGAAGATTGTGGTTTTAAATTAATTCGATCAATCAGGAAAGCGTTTCAAAATGTGCTTGTTGATAATTTCAGTGCGCAGACGAAAGGAAAGACTATTTATAACGAGAAATATAGGCCAAATACAGAGTTGGCAATTTTAGCCAATCGTGCTCAGAAGAAGCGGCAATCATTGGAATAGCATAAACTACGAGGACGTGGATTGTTGTGTATCGTTATAGGCTTTAATCCTGTTACTGGCAGTCAGTGAGAGGAATAACCGCCTCAATTACTGATTAAAAAGGATAGTCATAGGAAAGCTTAAAAATCGAATGATAAAGCGATTGTTTTGCTTATCGGTCTCCCCTAAAACTATGATTATATATATATATATATATATATATATATATATATATATATATATATATATATATATATATAGAACGTTAATTAGAGCTCTGAGGTCCTTGATTATCTGGTGATGTTGATTTTGAATATGACAAGAAAAGACCGATTTATGGACAGACATCTGTGTTCTCCGCTCTTTGTCCTATCTCTGCGGACATGTTAATTAAGTTAACTACCATAGCTTTAAACCACCACTGGCAGTAGTCTGCTCTAGCTTGCTCGAACATGCATGCAAATGAAGTCAGGTTATTCACCCTCCACTTTCACCCGAAACACCTGGACCTCTTGAATTGGGGGTGGCTGGGTGGAGTACTTACACTCTGACGCTCTCGTTCCCCCCCCCATCTCCTCACCTATCGTATTAATTCGACTGACAGCGTCACTTGCATGGTCTTGTCAACTTGCACATGAGTAAAAGTAATAATAACGTATGGAACAAAATTGGCCTACTCACCAAAATTTTGGAAATATGGCATTCCTGAATGGTGAATTCATAGGACTGTTGGTCAAATTCTGGGGCACAGTCATTGATATCTTCAATTTGGACAATAACTTCAGCTGTCGCAGTATTCACCCGCCCTCCGCATGATGACTTATTTTCACCTCCGCAATCTACGGCCTCGACTGTGAAGTTAAATGATTTCATCACCTCTCGATCAAACATTTTACCACTCCTTATTTGTCCAGTCTTCTCGTCTAGAATAACCAGTGGATCGTAGTCCATTTGATGAACTTTCCCCAGGAATCTATAGCGCACGTCACCCATCTCCCCCGTGTCCGCATCGGAGGCATGTATTTTAATAATTGGAGTATGAACAGGAAGACCTTCACTGATGCGAGCATAGTAAATAGATTTTTCAAAGACTGGTGGCGAATCATTCACATCTTCCAAGCGCACAGTGATGTGCATCTTGGTATCGAGAACTGGCTGTCCGGAGTCATAGCAGGTGATCGTAATTCCATGGGTGCTTTTAGTTTCGTGGTCCAAGGGCTTAGAAGCAACGAGTTTGAAAAAATTTCGCATTGTTGGATGCAGTTTCTCCACAGTAAAATAGGCGTTGTTATTTGCCTTACAGTCAGGTTGTCTATTGCTAAAGCTGGGATCAACACCACTTCGCTCGTCAGCATCGGAGATAGTTATAGTAGCAACTAAAGTTCCAACCGGTGCATCTTCGCGAATATAGAATTCCCCTTTGGAAGCGGAATTCTGTAGAGGTGATTGAATGGAAATAACTGGGTGATTGTCGTTTGCATTTAGGACATGGACTCGGAGTTTTGTTTCGGCAATATGAGCTTGGTCTGTAACTTCAATTGGAATAATGTACCCGTATTCGTTGCTACCGCTATACATTGAATCTTTTACATCTCTACTGGGTAGAATAGGTGCAGATTCATAGTCTACTTCTCCGGAAACACTCACCGCACCTGTTCGACTGTCAATGGCGAAAAGTCGTTGAACCTCGGCGGACGCAGTTAAACCAATTTTATATTCCAGACGGTTTGCATCGGATGGGTCGTCATCCAGGGCTACAGCTGTGAATATCTGCGTTCCCGGCGATATATTCTCCGAAATTTCAACTGAGGGATTATTTTGTCGAAAGTACGGTGTCTGGTCGTTAATATCAGTAATTCGGACAATCACACTTAGAGTTCCGGTAAGTTGTGGTGAGCCACCATCAGTAGCTATGAGTAGGAAGTAATAAGCAGATTGCTTTTCACGATCCAGGTCAGCTTTCACCTTCAGTCCTAGAGAGAATTTATATGGCGATCCAGGAGAACGTTCAATTAGTTCACTGGTCAATTCAAATGCATCGCTGGCTATTCCCCTTATATTTGGATCATGGTCAAGAGGTTCACTTGGAATTAGTCGATAATTCTGAACCGTATGCTCAGGCCCATGATCTGGATCAGTAGCCTCGGGAAGCTGGAACTTTCTACCAACCATTGTGTGCTCTGGAACTTCCAGCTCTAGTTTATCAGGAGACCAGAAGGGAGGATTGTCATTCAAATCGTTGACATAAATAATTACTTGAATCAGAGGATGTTCCTGATTTATTTGCGGTGTGTTAGAGCTTCGCTGTCTTTGGTCCATCACTAACATCTTAATGGCACAGCCCGAGTACTGCACATCAGGGGAGAGCGGATCGTGGAATGTAGAGTGAGAAGAGGTGGGAATTATACTCTGACCTGGACAACATATTCCAATTTCTTTACACAGACCTTCTCTGTCAATTCTTTGTCTCACTGTAATTAACCCATTAGTCCGATTGAAGTTCACCAATCGTAGATCTGTCAAGGGAACAAAATTCACCTCTCCGCGTAAGAAATTATCGAGAACAAGCTTCTCTGCCAGACTGCCAATTCGAGAGCCTACTGGAGATTCCTCGTCAATAACAAAGACCACATTGGTCTTTTGGGCGTCTGGTGTGCTTGCATGGAAGGCATAGATAGAGGGGTAGGTGAAAAGTAGGAGAAATGGGAGAGTAGAGAGGAGATGCAGGAAGAATGAGATGATAGAGGGCAGAACCTTCGAGGGCATATCATCCGTCGTGGAAGCGACCTGCGTGTGAAGGTAAGGCAAATGATGTGTACACGTGCATGAGAGTGCCTGGCTGATTAGCATTCTGATACACACACTTCGCACCGCGCCCACGCGTCCGTATCACCCCGCGTCCGCGCTCATATGTGAATGGCCGCGCAGGCAGATAGCAGTGCGTACATTTGATAGGTGCTATGACGATCTAATTGTCTTGTAGGCTCGAACACGGAATAGGAAAATGTATACGTCATTATTTTTACCTTTCGTCGAAGGTCTATTGAGAAATAATTAGATACTTGTAATATCTCATCTAAAAGCAATGTATTATGTTTTTTATTGAATTAAGCTCAATTTATTGTTCCGGCACACAAAACGTCAACAATTCTAAATGAAAAATTAAAAATTACGTTTCAGGGTTGCAGACAATGTTAAAAAAGAAGTACCAATAAATTAATCTAATCAAATTGAGGCATTCTGTCCTCGATTTTCCTAATTCAGTTCATATATCATCTTATTTCTCCCACCCTATTAGTGATATTTGTAGCAAACATCCGTGAACTCTATACTCACAGCTCGCAGTCCACTAAAACTAAAAGTTAATCAAAGTAACCCAAGGAAGCTTATCTTTGACGCACATATTCTAAGTGCGTCAGCAAAGCAGAAACTAAATTTAACATCATAACTCTACCAACTACCATAAAATGTGTAAATGTCTCAATTGCAGTGTTTTTATTGAGTTGTCCCGTTCTTCTGATTTTGGCCAATTAGATTTCATTTAATCCAATTAGAAGACTACTCGGGAGAGCTCAAAATTCTTTTCATTTATTTTGTGCATTAAGACAATAATAGTCCATTTCAATATCTTAAAAATATTTGTTTATAAGCCACAGTTGGGCAACGAGACGAAATCCTATAGGTTGACTGAGGATCCACCTTTATCTACTGAGAGAACACTTGCTTCTTTCACACATTCGCATCCTTATAGATCTTGCGTTATAAATTTGTTATGCGCGGCCACTTAACACAGTGGAAAACGTGAAGATCTGTTCTGCTCAGCAAAGTTTGAATAGCGGTACCTATGCATGTCTTCTCTCTAATAAAGTACTAGGGGACGGAGAAGCACGAATCCTTGATGATGACGGGTATTAATGGTTTGAATATGCTTTTTCCATACGCTAATTCTCAGGCGTTATTGTTAAATTATTCATCGGCATCGCATCGCTGAAATATAATTGCGGCCCTTCCAAAGATAATAATTATTCAGGTGGTATAAATGCTGATATTGACCTTCGCCCTCTCCCCCTCCCCCCCCCCACTAGTCAATGTACAGTGAATATCAATAGTAATGGGGACCAGTGTTTCAAAGACTAAGGCAAATGGTAGAAAAAATGTATCAGGTTTATCTCCTGCACGAGTTGATGTGATCAGCATGAATGTCATAGTTAATCGATGCTCAACTTTAATTATTCATTGGTATGGATGTCCACAGGTACCGACTGATTCTTTTCGCCCAGAGAATGAGGGTCACTCAACGATATATTTTCACTGCTCTTTCTTTAAAGAACTCCGAATACCCTTTTTAATCCCACAGAAGCAAGGCCATACTTGCCAAATTTCAAAATTTTATTTTGAATTTTGTTCACAGTTTCAGAGTTTACTTAAAAATCAGAGCATAGTTGCGGAAATGTCAAAAATGGGTTATCGTGCTAACGTTGACTAATATTTGCTGATTTCGCTCATGTACATAGCTGTGTTTTAATGAATAAAACGGATATAAATGTTAACAACATAGCTTCATAAAATGGTGAAATTGATGGAAACCACAGCTATAACAAAAGTACTATTTGGTAAGCTACCCGAACCCATTATTTAGAATGCTATTTTTTGTTTATTTAGAAATTTAAAGAAAGAACGCATTTAATTAGAACCCGAATTGTCAAAATTTTAACTTGATTTATTTATTTTTCATTAACGCGGGAACCATAAACTTTTCAATCTTAGTTTTCTTGCCACTAAGGCAATTTTGGAACTTGGTAATTCATAAATGTTTTTGTTGTTGATTTTAAACAATTACTGGTGTTAATTCACTCAGAACACAAAACCCAATTTTATTCACATTTATGGAAAGGAGAGCATGAATCTGCCTGAACACCATTTCATGTTTGGAATTACTAAGTGATTCCGCAATCTTAATAATAGACGCCTATCGAAATGCTAAAATTCAAAACAGCTGAAAAATTTACTAATACAATTTTTCAATACCCCAACAAAGAAATCTATCGATTTGGCCAAATCTCAATTCTAAGTTAATATTTACACCACAACCCTCGTTCCATTTTCTGCAAGTGCTAAAATGAATTTCTATATAAAACGTTTGAATATTAGTAAATATATTTTCAAAATTTTCTATTTGTTTTCAACAGCACCATTCTTTTGTGATTCTGAATTAAATTATATTTATAAAAAATTACTTAAAGTCTTTTCTTATAACTAATAAAGTCTCTTCAAATACATATATATTAAAAAAGTGAACAATTAGCCATTCTATGTATCAAATCGAGGCCTCGTGCACTGAAGCAGGAAAGGAAAAAAACGGGTTCTTCGAAGAGGAAATAAATTAGAAGCAAATCCGAACATCGGCTCCCCCTCCCCCTCCTTTTCACCTGTTTGCCTAATGGGCAGTCTTAATGACATTCCATTTGTCAGTCACTCCCCGAGGCTTCGTTATATTAACTCCTTCTTGACATTTAAGATATTAGCCATGCAATCTCTTTCATGATATTATCAATTAACCATGAAGAAAAGGTAAATATCCCCATAATCTCTCCACTTCAGCCATTAAAATTGATATATCGAGCCATAGAACCAACCCACAATCTTGAATCTATTCATCCACCTCCAATTTTAATTTTTGCAATTTATTCTCCGTTATCTGCTTCTCTGAGGACTTTCTCATCCATATCCGGACATATTTTGAGACCAAGAATCCGTTGAAGTGCATAACTGTTTAGCCTCAGAGATATAATCCACGTAGTCTATTACTATTCATATTGACTTACCGCGATTGTTGCTCGAATACATCTACTGAAGATTCCGCACACAACGTAAGATTCGGGTAGATAAAACTAGGTGGAAGCGAAATTTTGGAGGAATACACAGACAAAGGACTCCAGAGATGAAATAAAACATCAAAACATTTTGAACAAGACCAAACATTTTTAGGCGTAAAAATTAATTAGATTGACATGATAATGCAATTTTTTATGCAGAAAAATTTCTCTCCTTAAATAATATTATATATACATTGCAAAAATAAGGGCAAAAATGAAAATGTTTGGTTGAAATTATTAGATGAATTATCGAATTCCACTAAAAACCCGATTGATGAATCTAACTATCACTCTTGTCAGTGTTATCGGAATTTACCTTTTTGCTTTTTGGATACCAATAATTGAATTTGATGAATTCACGGATACAAATTGCTACTTTATTGGTCTTGCTAAAAAGTTATATCTAGTAATACATTTAATGTGGCCTGAAGTGAGATGACATTTTGGCACAAAGTAAGTACTTAAAAACACTTCGACTGATCAATTTTCCATTAAGTGGAAATTTTGAATGATGTTATAATAAATTATAAAAATCCGATTGAAAATCTAGGTGGATCAGGTGAACTTCAATTCTAGCCTAAAGAGAAGAGTCTAGAAGCACTGAGAGAACCCAATTTTGACAACAATATCCAATAGAATATCGATACTTATTAAGATTTTTCTGCATGTATAAACTGTAAAGCCTCCAAGAGAAGCAAATATTCTTTACAGAAAAATTTTAAAATAAATTGAGAATGAAGAAACCGAACCACGAGAAGAAATTTGGAAACTTTCTTTAAAGATAAGAAGTACAATAGATCGGAAGTTGTGTCATGGGAACAATAGGCGTAGCTTCAACAATATTTCAGGCAAAATAGGGAGTTAAAGAAAAAAGGCTATTTGTAAATTTAATGCATTAGCTTTAAAAACAAACAAATTTTGGGAGCACAAAATTGTAATATCACCTGCCTTCTTCATCTGACTTAGCATTCCTTGAGATGAAAACGACTGGAAGAGATAAACTACAAAATTCAGGCCAATCAACTGGTTGATAGGTGAAGTTCATCGAGTAAAAGATTTTGTTCAATAATCCCTGGCAATTTGAATTTTTAAAACTCGAATTAAAAAACTAATGTCTTTTTATATCCTCCTCTGAGAAAATAGCTTATTGAATCTCACTGCTACCTGACTCAATTGGATTTACTGTATTGATCTATGAACGTAAACTAAAGGTATCAATCGTTTTAACTAAAATCAAGTATATGCTAAATAATGTTTAATTGATTTAAACGAACATTTCACTAATTCACTTCTCACTCTCTCCCTCTATCTCTGAGTAGGGTAACTGAACTATTAACCAGCAAAAATTAAATGGGTATCTCACTTTTGATTTTGGGACTATCTCCGTAAAGTTGGGGGCTATTCAATCATTACGCACTAATCCGCAAAGGTGGCTATTAGGTCAGCCCATTATAGCCACTTTGACTTTTAGTAAATTATAAGACAAAAATATATCATTAAGGATAAATTAGTGCTAATTTAGGTAGAAAAATGTCCATGTTAATATAAAATAGGAGCCATTACCATGAAAAATGAACAATGAAACGGTATATCCTTTAACACAAATACAGATTTCCAGTAAAAAGCAAATGTTTGGCTAATCATTATTTCCCATTTCAAATATTTATAACGAGATGGTCCAGTCTCTTCAAATTGTTCCACTTCTGAAATAAACAAAATGCCATATGATTTTAAACTGTCTTCTGGAATCTTGATAACTTTGACTCAGGCTACTTGCTAAATTTTTAATCTAATTCACAGTGCCCCACAAAAATCATTGATGGGTCGCAATACTGAAATCGTATTTACATTCCATTGGCGTGGAAACAAACTTTGAATATTTAATTAAAATGGAGCACAAAGGTGGATGGACAAAGGTAAGACTACAAGGGAAATCGGGAGAACGCCACGACAAGTTAAATATTGAAGACCTTTGAAAGTTCCGAATCATATGAGTGCGCTCGATTTCGAGATCATCTGCGGCAATATAATTTT